AAATTATTATTATTTTTTTAATCTGAGTTTGGATCATGCATCTTTCTGTCATTAAAAAAACCACAAAAACAACAGTAAGAAAATAAAGTGAATTGACTTGAATAATTTATTCTGAACACTCTTTAATGAAATAGTAAGTGTATGGCACAGTATGAAGATCCTTAGACCAAATGCTCATCGGAACATACTATGAGGAAAAAGTGACATGCAGGGGGGAATATGGTTAATTTTTTACTGTCTATGTATATATAGATAAGGAACCCTGCAGACATGCCCTGGAAAATACTCACAATCATCAGACCACTCTGAGGTTTCAGCACTGCTGATTGCCTTATTTATGCAGATTAATACAAAATTATGCACAACTTGCATGTTTTAATTTTGTTAGAGGGAACTACAAAATACGCTACCACTCGAATACTTTTCCCTTCACTGATCTGAGAATAGATTCATTCCTGCTTCTGTGTAAATTTGCTGCTCTAAATTGAAACATCCTCCAGCCCTTTTTGTACTCGCGCTGCTGCACATAACGTTTCCCTGGAGAGGAACTCTACGGAGTAAAGGCTTTGTACTCCTTTCCAAATTTCAGACACTTCCCTTCTCTGCTACCTTTATGCTGTAAATTTAGTGTATGTGTACAGGGTGTGGCTGCCACACCCTAGGGACAACGACCCTCATCCATCAGAGGGTGGATTCCCATCTAGGGATGAAGGCATTAGCAGTGGTTTAGGGAAGAGCTGGCAGGGTTTTTAACTCTCCCCACAAGATTGCAGCTCTGGATCCCGAGTCTTGAAACTCTGGAGCTTTAAAGTAAAAGAAATTTTTGTGGACATAATTTGTACATGTGTCTTCTCACAGATCACAATAATTATAGACTCAGAATCACACACTGATTTGGGCTGGAAGGGACCTTCAAGATCATCTAGTTCCTCCCCTTGCTATGGGCAGGGACACCTCCCACTAGACCAGGTTGCTCCAAGACCCATCCAATCTGGCCTTGAACACCTCCAGGGGTAGAGCAGCCACAGCTTCTCTGGCCAACCTGCACCTGTGTCTCACCACCCTCTCACACTTAAAGAATTTCTTCCTAATATCTAACCTATATCTCCTCTCTTCCAGTTTAAAGTAATTATTCCTTGTCCTGTCACTCCATGCCCTTGTCAAGCTTCTTGTAGCCCCTTCAGGTACTGGAAGGTTCTCTTAAGGTCTCCCCAGAGCCTTCTCCTTTTTAGGCTGAACAACCCCTCACCATGTCTCCATAGCAGAGGTGTTCCAGCCCTCTGATCATCTTTGTAGCCCTCCTCCAGAGTCTCTCTGGGAGCTCAATGTCCTTCTTGTGTTGGGGGCTCCAGAATTGGACACAGTACTCCAGGTGGGGTCTCACAAGAGTGGAGTAGAGGGAATCACCACCCCCCCCCCCCCCACCCTGCTGGCCATGCTTCCTTTGATGCAGCCCAGGACATAGTGGGCTTTCTGGGCTGCCAGTGCACATTGCTGGCTCAGATAAGGACTAGATGCTTGAGGCTGCCCGCTTAGACTCAAGCTACATTTGTAGCGACAATTTTTGTACTGCCAGCTGACATAACCAACACTTTCCATGTTTACAGTGTTCTGCAGATGTTGATTTAACTCATTATTTCACCCCCACGCAGTTTATCAGAAAAGAGGAAAAGCCAAACAACGTGACTTGCCCAAAGCAAAGCACATTGTCATCAGCAAAGCCTGGGCTGCTGATGCTGCAACTGGTGGCACGGGTAGGTATGAAAAGCTTTCTAGAGGGAGAAAACGTGAAAGTTGGGAACTTGTGAGCTTTGGAAACCATTACGGTTCCAATAATGAGCACTTCTTCATCTGCCACTAGTACTCTATTTTGGAAAAAGAAATCTGAGGGATAAGTCAACTGCAATCTTGCACACGTTTTTTCACTTAACCCCCCCCCAAAATTCCAACACGCAAACACGTCGTTTATTTCAGCGCCGTTCTTAGCACCAGGAGAACAATGACCTTCCCAACACCCTCAGCAGACCCAGCATCCTGCAGAGCCTCCAGCACAGCTGGGATGGCCTGGCCGGCCCCCGTTTTGTGCTCAACCTGTGGTGACGGATGAGGCGGTTGCCGTGTGCTCTGCGAACCGACAGGCCTGCCCTTGGTGCGGGGCAGCAAAGGAACCCAGGCACCTGTTGACCACTGCGTTTCACCTTCGCCATTACCTGGGCGTGCTCCCTGCTCTGCTCTCCCGGCCCTTCCCGCCTCCACGCCCGCTATCCCTTGCGGGTGCAGGGCTCTGGCACTCCCGGGGCTCCCCTGACGTCTCCGTGAGGCAACACCTCCCACCTCGGACGCCTTTCCCCCC